CCTCATATTTATTTATATCTCACTTCAGCTGACAGGACTGAAGATCGACAGGCCGGATCTTGAATCTGAGGAGAGCACGGGTGTCACTCTGGACCATGCTCTTACCTACAAGAAGCACTGCTTGAACATCAAGCAAAAAGTGGGTGCTGGAAACAATATCATACGAAAGCTGACTGGCACAACCTGGGGATCACAACCAGATACAGTGAAGACATCTGCCCTTGCGCTGTGCTACTCTGCTGCTGAGTATGCATGCCCAGTGTGGAACACATCTCACCATACCAAAACAGTGGATGTGGCTCTTAATGAGACATGCCGCATTATCACGGGGTGTCTGCGCCCTACACCACTGGAGAAATTACACTGCTTAGCCGGTATTGCACCACCTGACATCCGCCGGGAAGTAGCAGCCAATAGTGAAAGGACCAAGGCAGAGACATCTCCAGCTTATTCCCTGTTTGGGTATCAGCCAGCACGCCAACAACTTAAATCTAGACATAGCTTTCTTAGATCTACAGAGACACTTGCTGGAACACCTCAGCAAGCGAGAGTCCAAAAGTGGCAGGCTCAAACCCAGCACCTCAACCAATGGCTGATACCAAATGAGAGACTCCCTCCTGGGCACACAGAAGACTGGGCGACTTGGAAGGCATTGAACAGACTGCGCTCTGGCACCACGAGATGCAGAGCCAACCCTCAGAAATGGGGCTACAAAGTAGAATCCTCGACATGCGAGTGTGGAGAAGAGCAAACCACTGACCACCTGCTGCAATGCAACCTGAGCCCTGCCACATGCACAATGGAGGACCTTCTTGCAGCAACACCGGAAGCACTCCAAGTGGCCAGATACTGGTCAAAGGACATTTAACCAGCTACCAAACTCACAAGTTGTGTATTCTTTCTGTTTGTTTGCTTTGTTCTGTTAGAAATGTAATATAATGGACTGGTTGCTCTGACACGACAAATAAATAAATACGGATGTGCTCCCTCTGTCAGCTCCAGCTCCCCATGTGGGGACATGAGAGAAGCCTTCCACAAGCATGGTAAAACATCAAAATATCTGAGCTTCCCCTGAGCAACGTCCTTGCAGACAGCCAATTCTCACACACCAGAAGTGACCTGCAGTTTCTCAAGTCGCTCCTGACGTGAAAAAAAATTCTCACTTTCCTCTCTTGATATTCTCTGGTATGTTTTAGTATTGTGAACCAATATTCAAAGTGGTTCACAATACTAAAACATACCAGACAGGCTTGTGAGGTTGGTGAGAGCAAGAGCAAACCTTCCCCCACAAAGAAAGTCTAAGTTAACCCATATTTATTAAGACAAAGAGAGTTTCTTTGCATCACAGCTTTGCTCCTTCTGGCTGCTCCCAGTTTGCACCATTCTGGTGGAACTGCTTAGCAAAAACAAAAGCCCAAACCCTTTGTCACCTATATATTTCTGAGCAGTGCCATTGAAGCACTATGCAATGCTAATATAGAGCTGCAGGATTCCCATCTACACAAAGCCTTTGCCAAAACATTTCCTCAGACTGTCAACAAACCCAACTGCCTCCAAAGCCTTAACCGTGATCTTAAACTTATTTCGGAACAAGTTAGACTTAAGGAGGAATGGATTTGCTTTGCAGAAGGATTTCTTGGGACAAACCTTGAGGGCATTTGCGAGTTTCCTGTGAGTTTGGGTTAAGACTCAAGGGGCATCTACATGGTAGAATGAATGTAGTTTGATCCCATGGCTGAATGCTACGGGATCCCAAAGGTTGTGGTGTGATGAGGCAATAATACTCTTTGGCAGAGAAAGCAAAAGACCTTGTAAAATGACATGTCTCATCATTCCATAGCACTGAGACATAGGAATCAAAATGGCACCAAACTGCATTCATTCCACAGTGCAGATGCACCTCTAGACCCATTTCTGGGTGGGATGCCGCTTGATTCATTTGCTCAAACCCATCCTCAGCAAGAAGGTTTTTCAATGCGTACCAACAAAATGGGCTCATGTTCAGATGAAGGCACCACCAGCCAAGTTTGCACAAGTCAAATTTTGCTGTTTTTGCTTGTTTGATTTTGAACCCCTTCAGCCATTCCTCTCTTAGCAGTTACAGTCTGACAGCCAAAAACCAACCTCATATGGCTCTGCAAACAGATCCTCCAGTAAAGAAGGTCTCCCTTTTGCAGAGTTGCTTTTAAAATTATTTAAAAACTGCTTCCATGCTCCTGACTCAATTTCCTGGTTTTTAAACCAGTTGGCAACTGCAGTGGATATTGGGTCCCATTTTCTACTCCTGGAACCTTCTAAGGACTGCTCCAAAATTGGGAGGAAACCCAGCAAAACCACCAATAGCCAGGAATCTGCTATTACTTTTAAAGAACACGTTTGTAAAGATGTTGGAAAAACAAAGGGTGGCCCTGCAAGCTATTGAGAAGATGAACTACCGTTCCGAGAAAAGCAATTAATCAATTTCTTGGGAGTTTGGGTAGCTCAAGAGCAGCAAAAACCAGCTCGGAAACCTTCCCTAGCAATGCCAGGGAGACACCTTGCCCCATTCCTAATTTAATCTAAACCAGAACAGATCTTTATATCACTTCCTTGGCATCAAATTTGGTCCCCAGCCCTTCTGATCTGCTGCAAAAGCAGCATGGTTCCATCATGATTCTCCATGGATCGCCATGAAAAGAATGGACCCAAATTGCAGTCCCACAAAACCTGGGACAGGGAGGAAGACAGGTGTAACTTAGATAGAAGTTATGCAGCAGAATATTTTATTGTCAGAGTGGGTTGCTGTTGCCCTCCAGATGTTGTCTAGACTGCACAATGAGTCAGAACAGCCCAGAGCAAAGGATGCTTGGAACTGCAGTCCAAAACATTGGCCTAAAATATCCCTGTTGTGCATATTCTAAATGGGAGCAAGGGGTCAGTCCTGGATTGATTTCCATTCTATTAATGGCAACTGGGCATGCTCCTGCCCTCGGTGGCACAATAGATGAAACCCTTGCACTGGTAGGACTGCTGACCTACAGGTTGGCAGTTTGAATCCGGGGAGCGGGGTGAGCTCCCACCTCAGCTCTAGCTTCTCATGCGGGGACATGAGAGAAGCCTCCCACAGGATGGTAAAATATCACACATCTGGGCATCCCCTGGGCAACGTCCTTGCAGGCAGCCAGTTCTCTCACACCAGAAATGACTTGCAGTTTCTCAATTCACTCCTGATATGAAAAGAAAAAACTGGGCATGTGCAGAGTAGCTTTGCATTGTCACAAACTACAGTCAATCTTTCACCTGGAATCACAGAAAAAAGAGATTTCCATGCTTTGTAGGTTGGAAAGGTGAGTTTCAGAGGAGGCTTAACATTATAATTACTACTTTTGGGTACTTCCAATGTGCCCCTACCTTTAGAGAGACTGTTCTCGAGCATTCAAGTGAATTGTAGTCACTGAGAAAATACAGGAACCTTAAAAGAAGTCTTTTGGTGTTTACATCCCAGAAAGGCATCTAGGAGATCTAGAGAAAAAACACTGCTAATCCTAATGACATCATTGCAACAAAAGCAGGTGCCAAATAGGCTGGGTATCATTCTGTGCCAAGTCTTGGCACAACTTTAAGGCAAATGGTAGCCCATCTCTCCCGGTCACAATGTATCCCCCAATGGCCCCCAATGCATGCTATTGAAGAAAGACCAGCTAATGTGCAGAAGAAAGAGATTTGACAGGTGAAATGCACACGAAAGAGACACAGCGCATGCATGGGTGCACATGTTTTTAGAAAGGCTACTCGGTCCGACACCAAGCGGCCCCTCCAGCAACACAATACAGCAAATGCAGGCTGTGCCGCAAGCAGAAAGTGTGGACTTTGCTTGCACCTTGTGTGATGCCAAACGGCTCCGGTTGTATGTGTCTTCTCTCACTGCACTGATTATCACTGATTGTTGATATGGCTTTATTTAAGAGTAGAAACCAATCCATGGATGGCCAAGTCCCAACAGGCAACACCTCAAAATACCTGTGGTTTTCCTGAGGTTGCCGTAAGTGACTTGAAGGTACACAACAACAAGAAAAACAATAAATGTCTATGTGTATGCCCCAATCTCAATATTGGTGGTGAATCTGCTCTGGGTTTTAATCTAAACTGAGATCTTCAAGATTTTCAATGCTATCCAGTTGGGTTTGAGACTTCAGGACATTGGACAGCTCCTTGACCAGTAAAGCCAACTCTTCTGGACTTTTTAAAGCAGAGCTTACAGGTACGTAGTGCTACCAGGTAGAAGAGGGTGCTTGACAACTTGGATTTCTCCATGAAAGTTCAGACTAAAATCCAGAATGGATTTCCACCATCCTCACCACCAACAACAAACCAAGGCACCAGCTGCTACTGGGTCCTACCTCAACTTGCACAGTGCAGCACTGAAATTTTGGGAATAGATATCATAACTAGATATCTAAGCAGAGGAGGGCAAACTACTGAGGTTCAAATCAGATGCAAAAAGTTGCAGTCACAAGTTCTTATTCTTGCAAAAGTCTAGTCCCTTAAGAAAAGGCACAAAGCCAAACAACTCTCTAAAGGATGAACCAAGCCACTTCACTTAAACACTGATTTCTAAGTCAGGAATTGAGGCAGCTTCCTACTTTCTCCCAGATCTGGGGAGGTACTTTCTAGATTACAAAGAGTTCATTGACTCACATGGAATACTCTTCTGTGCATCTTAGATGCCCAAGCTTGTTTTAATGCCCTGACCCCACAGATGGGACTTTCACAGCCCACCATCAGTGACTACCATGTTAGTAGAGTGAACCTGAACTCCAACCAAAACTTTAGAGGAGCTGTTCAAGGTGCTGAAAGGCACTAAGACCCTAACCTTATTTGCCGGCCTGCAAATGGAGGCTATCAGTAGCCACTTCTGCAAAGACGCTACTCCCCAGGAAGACCTGGAGGCCATACTGCCTTCCTTAGGCCTTGAGCCCACCCTCAGCCCAAAGGAGAGGAGAAAAGAGGTTGACACTGACCCCTTCTTCGTCTGACCGATTTTCCCTCCTTGCCAGCGTTCTTCTTTGGGGGTCTTCCTCGTGGTGGGAGTTGGCATGGGCCTTGCCCTGTGTATGGCTGGGGTCGCTGCCGTATCCCGAGGAGCACCAGAAAGTGCTGGACATTGAGTCGCTGAAGGACGATTTGCTCTGGGAGGCGGGCATCTTGGCCCAGGTGGCTGAGGGTGGCTCTTGGCCAGCGGGTTTCCGCTGGGGCTTTGACCCCTCCTGGCTTCCCGCTTGGTCTGCCAAAGGAGATGGCGTGGACAGCTCTGAGATAGTGCCCTTGTCTGCTGTGCTCCAGGAGGCCCCCCAGGAGATGCTTTCGCTCACATCCTCTGCATTCCAAGCTTCCTCCACCACCGTCAGGGGAACCTCTGGCTTGGGCTGGTCCCACGAGCGACAGACCACCACCACTGAGTCCTCCTCCTTTTCCTCTTCTTCCTTTTCCTTCTCTCCCTGGACAGAGGCTTCCTTGGGCCATGGCACCAAGATAGCTAGGCTGCTGCCCCATCTCTGGTGGGCCACAACTTGGCTGGTCACCTTTTCGCGGTTCAGTTCGGCTGGATTGTCCCGCAAGCGAGCAATGACAGTGGTGCCCTCTTCCACGGGGTCTCTGGGGCTCCCTGCTTTGGAGGAAGAGGATGGGCAGGAGGGTTTCCCTGTCACAAAGTGAGCCCTTTCAAGCTCCCCTTGGAAGCGCTCCCTCACCTGCACGAGGCGCCCTTCCTCCGTCCCATCGGGCTCTTTGGTGGCGCCGTTTTGGTGCAGCCGCTTGGCAAGGTCCTTCCCTTCCACCTCCAATGGAGCCGCAGGCAGGTTCCTCTCTGCTTCTCGTTCCTCATCATCCTGCTGCTGCAATTCTTCTCCTTCTCCGGTGACGGCTTCATAAGGTCCCTCCGGTGCCGGATCCGCTCTCTCGGGGGATGTCCCCTTCTTCCCTTTCCTCCTGCGCCTGAAGCGGCCCTTCTTCTTCTTCCTCTTTGGGGAGAAGGGTGCCTTTGTGGGCTCCCCTCCGCCACCAGACTCCTTCGGTTCCTTAACGCAGCCCAGTGTGCTCCCCATCCCACTGTCCCAGAGTGCGAGGCGCCCGTGACAATGCAGCTAAGCCGGGCTTGGCCTCCTCCTCCTCCTCTGGGATAAACCCCGTCCACCGCTTCATCAGATTAGACGCACATTTTCAAAACACACACGCAGACAGACACGGGAGGCAAAGGCTGGCACGTCCCTGCACACACAAGGCGCGCCGATCCCAGGTTTGTCTCCTGCTTCGCTTTCCAGAGGCTGCCTTTTTCCGACAGCCATCTTACGATGAAGAGGAGGAGGAAGCTGCTGCCGCTGCTGCCGGGGAGGGAAGACACATTCAAAGCATCTCACTGCAGTTCGGAAATCACTTGACCTAAAAGCAGACGGCGCCCGGATTGGCTGCGGCGTCCTCTCTCCAAATATGAGGTAATGGGAGCAGTGCTGCCCTTCTCCGTAAGGCAAACAGAGAGAGAGAGAGAACCAGACAGACAGAGAGAAAGGCGGGGAGGGGGCAAAAGGAGGGAACGAGAAAGAGAGGGGGACGGAGGGAGGGAAGGAAGGATGAAGGAGACGCTGCTGCTGCTCCTCAGAGGAGAGGGGTGTGGCACCAGGCAAGGAGATGGGGATCAGAGAGCCAAGTTTTTTTAAACCCACACCCCTCCCACCCACAGCATCAGCATCATCGCCACAACAAAGGTGCGATGGGGAGGGAGCCCTGAAAAAGGGAGGAGAAAGAGAGGGGTGTTTTTAGTACAATCTTGGAAGGAGCGCAAAACAACAGGCGCCTGGGGCTGCTGTGGGTTCCTTACAGAATTTGGGGGGGGGGGAAGGGTGGGGAGGTAAATGGGTGCCAGGATGGGAAGCAAGAAGAACAAGGGTGGGGAAAGCCAAGCCCCACTGCACCTAGATATTCATGTTGACATGCCAGCTATTTTGGGTCTTCCTCCAACCTGGTTACTGCTGTATTTTTGCTAAGCTGTTCAGCTCCGGAGATCAAGCACATCCCTATAGCCTGTCTGAAACCATAAAAATAAAGGGGACACAGTGATCAGACCCCAAGACTATTGACTGAGAATCTAATGTCCCCAAGTAGGGAAGGTGGGCACTCAGGTGGTGATTCACATACAGATAAATATCCCCCAAAGCAGAAAAGAGGGACCACCATGACGGCTAAGGGATGAAATGGGGGAATGCCAAACTGTTGGTGAGAAATTGGACCAAAATCCAGACCTGAGACAGGTGCGTTATTAGTTCATTTGCTAGGAACACCTGGTGGCACAATGGATTAAACCCTTGTGCCAGCAGGACTGAAGATCAACAGGTTGGAGGTTCAAATCCGAGGAGAACGCGGATGAGCTCCTTCTGTCAGCTCCAGCTCCCCATGCAGAGACATAAGAGAAGCCTCCCACGAGGATGGTAAAAAAACATCAAAACATCCGGGCATCCCCTGGGCAACGTCCTTGCAGACAGCCAATTCTCTCACACCAGAAGCGACTTAGGTTCTCAAGTCACTCCTGACACGAAAAAAGGTTCATTTGCTCCCTGGCGCACCTTTTCATTCCACCAACAACATGGAAATTTCTGGTGTAATGTTGCCAATTCCAACATTTACACCTGCCTCAAATAGACAAGAGTTCCTTCACATATATATAAACCTCACTTGCCTAGTTTCCAACAGACCTCACAATCTCTGGGGATGCCTGCCATAGATGCATGCAAAACATCAGGAAAGAATGCTTCTGGAACATGGCCATACAGCCCAGACAACTCACAACAACCTATTATTTATTCATTAAAATGTTTCTGCCCCACCCTGTATCAAAAAACCTTGGGTTGGTCTACTAGTAAAATGCATGCAAAGAGATAAAAATACTTAGGTAAGTAACTGACCACTTCTGGTCCAAAGTTAAAAGAGTCCAAGTCTTATTGAAGGGGGTGCAATAAGTCATTTCCCAAAAGATATAAGCAACAAAGCAAAGCAAGTGTTTCCCAAACTATGCCAGGGTCCCAAATACTGGAAAGGGCCTGGCTTCCTCCTCTTTGGAAAGAAAAGAAACTCAAGGATCACTCAATGCCAACGATTTCTCCGAGAAGGAGCCAGAGAAACGGATACACAAAGGGTTTTCAGAAAACAGTGCTCTTTGGAAAAACAGGGACAGGTTGGCTGCTAATTAAAAAGCTCAAACTGCTCTCTTTTACTAAATGTGTGGGTTAGGGTTTTATTTCATGAAATATAGGGCAAGAGGCGAGTATTTGTTCAGAGGCTCCTCTTATGAATCCAGGCACAGATCTGGCTTCTTTCTTTTTCTTCCTTCCCTTCTTCCCATCCCCCTCCTTTCATTTCATTCCTTCCCGTCCCCCATCCTTCCTCCCTCCCTCCTTCCTTCCTTCCCTTCTCCCTCCTTTCACCTTCTTCCTTCCTTTCTTCTCTCCTTCCCTCCCTCCCTCCTTCCCTTCCTTCTCCTGTCATTTTATTCCTTCCTTCCCTTCCTCCTCGCTTCTTCGTCCTTTCTTCCCTTCTTCCCTTCCCCCTCTTTTCATTTCCTTCCTTCCCTTCTCTCCTTCCCTTCTTCCCTTCCCTCTCCTTTCATTTTAGTCTTTCCTTTTTTCCCCTTCCTCCTCTTCTCTTCCTTTCCCTTCCTTCTCTTCTTCCCTCCCTTTTCACTTCCTTCTTTTCTTCGCTTCCCCTCCTTTTATTTCCTTCCTTCCCTTCTCCCCTTTCCACTCCTTCCTTCCCTTTTCCCTTTCCTCTCCTTTCATTTTAGCCCTTCCTTTTTCCCTTCCTCCTCCTTTCTTCATTTCTCCTTCCTTCTCTTCTTCCCTCCCTTTTCATTTTCTTCTTTTCTTCCCTTCCCCCTCCTTTCATTTCCTTCCTTCCCTTCTCCCCTTTCCACTCCTTTCTTCCTTCCTTCCTTTCCTCCCTGCCTCCCTCTTCCCATCCCTTCTTCCCTTCACTCTCCTTTCATTTTCTTCCTTTCCTTTCATATTTCTTCATCCTCCCCTCCTCCCCTCTCCTTTCCTTCCTTCCTTTCTTGCATTCTTCCCTTCCTCCTCTTTTCTTTGTCCTTCCTTCCCTTCTTCCTTTCCCCCTCCTCTTTCATTTTTTTCTGTCTTTCCTCTATCCCTCTCTCCCTTTCTTCCTTCTTTCACATCTTCCTTCCTCCTTTGCCTCTCTCCCTTCTTCCCCCTTTTCCTCCCCCTTTCAAGTTGCTTTTATGGGCTTGCCAAACGTCTGCATGGTAGCAATTCCAGTAACATATTGTTAACTAACTGTAAGACGGGGGAGCAAAATTTCACACGGGAAAGCAGAAAATCGCTCTTACAAAGACAACAACTTTATACGTTATAATAACACACTGGTATCTAACAATAACAATCTAATGTTCTGTTATAATATTATAACCTAAAGAAAGTTAAAGACGCAATGAGCGGCTGTCTCTTCTGCTTCCTTAATACACATTAATTCATCAATTCTGTTGCTGGATCAATATTATCTATTTATATAGTGCTGTTTTAGACTTCAACTCCCACAATTCCTAACAACCGGTAAATGCATCCTACAAAACTTATTTCATGCCTCTAGCCAAAGAAAGGAGGACAAGTTTGCTTAGCTGCTTTGAGTTTATATTTTAGAGAGAAAAGGTTGGATATAAGGAAGGAGGAGGAAGAGGAAAAGGAAGAGGGGAGGAGGAGAAGAGGAGAAGAAGAAGAGGAGGAAAAAGAAGAGAAGGAAGAAGAGGAGGAGGATAGGAAGAAGAGGAAGATACGGAGGAGGAAGAGGAAGAAGAGGAAGAGGAAGAAGAGAAGAGAGGAAGAAGAAGAGGATAAGGGGGGAAGAGGAGGAGGAGGAAGAGGAAGAAGAAGGAGAGTAGGAACAGGAAGAAGAAGAGGAAGAGGAAGAGGAGGAGAAGGAAAGGAAGAAGGAGGAGGAGGAGGAAGAAGAGGAAGAGGAGGAGGAGGAGAGGAAGAAGAGAAAGATGAGGAGGAGGAAGAGGAAGAGGAAGAGGAGAAGAAGAAGAGGAGGCGGAGGAAGAAAAGGAAGAGGAAGAACATGAAGAAGAAAAGGAAGAAGAGGAGCAGAGGAAGAACACGATGAGGAGGAGGAGGAGGAAGAGGAGGAATGGGAGAAGAGAAAGAAGGAGGAAAAAGAAGGTGAAGGATGAAGAGGACGAAGAAGAGGAAAAAGAGGAGGAGGAGGAGAAGTAAAGCAGAAGAAGAAGGAAAAGAATAGGAGGAGAAAGAGGAAGAACAGGAAGAGGAAGAACAGGAAGAGGAAGAAGAAAAGGAAGAAGAGGAGAAGAGGAAGAAGAAGAGAAGAAGGAGGAGGAGCAAGAGGAAGAGGAGGAATGGGAGAAGAGAAAGAAGGAGGAAAAAGAAGGTGGAGGATGAAGAGGAAGAAGAAGAGGAGGAGGAGGAGGAGGAGGAGGCCACCAGGATCAGGGCAGGGAGCAAACAGCCCTCATGTAATGAAAAGGAGATGCTGCAAGGCCCAACCTCCATACCAAGCCTGCCATGAGAAATCCCTTTATGAAATCCTCAGACCAAATTGCAGCAACCAATTGGGCACCAGCCAGAGACTCCCGCTGAGACCGCTCTCTGACTAACCAAGGTCTCTCTCCATCCCTGAGTTCCCCCCAGGCAAAAAGCCCCCTCCTTCCCATCTTCTCGGGTACCATCTGTGCTGCTCTAGCCTCTCCATCCCATCCTGTCCTTCCTCCTTTTTTGGTATAGCAGCACCACCCAGCGGCTGAGAAGAGAGCCACACAAGGAAATGCATTTGTGCAACAGGCTCAGTGGAATATCTTTTCCTGCCATTTGAATCCATGATTCCATTGCTCCCACTTTCTCTTTGTGTGTGTGCGTGCGTGCGTCAGAAGCGACTTGAGAAACTGCAAGTCGCTTCTGGTATGGCTGTCTGCAAGGATGTTGCCCGGATGTTTGATGTTTTACCATCCTTATGGGAGACTTCTCTCATGTCCCTGCATGGGGAGGCTGTGAGGTCTTTTGGAAACTAGGAAAATTGGGTTCATATATCTCTGGAATGATGTCCAGGGTGGGCGAAAGAACTCTTGTCTGTTGGAGGTAAGTATGAATGTTTCAATTGGCCACCTTGATTAGCATTTGATGGCCTGACAGTTTTTTTGTGTGGTTTGTTACTGCCTGGAGGAATCCTTTGCTGAGAGGTGATTTGCTGTCCCTGATTGATTCTTGTCTGGAGTTCCCCGGTGTTTGAGTGTTGTTTTTAATTACTGTTATAATTTTAGATTTTTTAAATACTGGTAGCCAGATTTTGTTCAATTTTATTGTTTTTTCCTTTCTGTCGAAATTATCCACATGCTTGTGGATTTCAATGTCTTCTCTGTGTAGCCTGGTGTGGTAGTTGTTAGAGTGGCCCAGCATTTCTGTGTTCTTGCCATACATTGAGAGAACCACTGACCGCATAGGGAAGTTGATAAGGAAACACAACCTACAACTCTCTACAAACCCACTAAGAAAATCCAACGAATGCTATGTTCAGCAAAGGACAAGAGGGATCCTCTCACCTCTGCAGGAGTCTACCGTATTCCATGCAGCTGTGGACAAGCCTACATAGGGACCACCAAATGCAAAAATGCCCAAACACGCATCAAGGAACATGTAAGGCACTGCAAACTAACTCAAACAGAGAAGTTAGCCATAGCAGAGCACCTGAGGAACCAACCTGGACACAGCATATTATTTGAGAACACAGAAATGCTGGAACACTCCAACAACCACCATATCAGACTACACAGAGAAGCCATTGGACAATTTCAACAGAAAGGAAGAAACCATGAAATTGAACAAAATCTGGCTACCAGTATTAAAAAAACACTCTAAAATTATAACAGTAAACAAAAACAACACTCTAACACCGGGGAATTCCAGACAAGAAACAATCAGGGACAGCGAATCACCTCTCAACAAAGGATGCCCCCAGGCAGTAACAAGGCACATCAAAAAGCTGTCAGGCCATCAAATGCTAATCAAGGTGGCCAATTGAAACATTCACACCTAGCTCCAACAAACAAGAATCCTTCCCCTCACCCTGGACTTTCCACAGATATATAAACCCAGTTTTCCTAGTTTCCAACAGACCTCACAACCTCTGAGGATGTTTGCCATAGATGCAGGTGAAATGTCAGAAGATAATACTTCTAGAACAGTGTTTCTCAACCTTCCTAATGCCATGACCCCTTAATACATTTTCTCATGTTATGGTGACTCCCAACCATAACATTATTTTCGTTGCTACTTCAGAACTGTCATTTTGCTCCTGTTATTAATTGTAATGCAATTATCTGATAAGCAGGATGTATTTCCATTCACTGGACCAAATTTGGAACAAATACCCGATATGCCCAAATTTGAATAGTGGTGGGGTTGCAGGGGATGGGGAGGGGTGATTGATATTGTCATTTGGGAGTTGTAGTTGCTGGGATTTAGAGTTTACCTACAATCAAAGAGCATTCTGAACTCCAGCACTGACGGAATTGAACCAAACTTGGCACACAAAACTACCATGGCCAGCAGAAAACACGGGAAGGGTTTGATGGGCATTGACCTTGAGTTTGGAGTTGTAGTTCACCTACATCCAGAGAGCACTGTGGAGTCAAACAATGATGGATCTGGACCAAACTAGACTGGAATACTCAATATGCCCAAATGTGAACACCAGTGGAGTTTGGAGAAAATAGACCTTGACATTTGTGAGTTGTAGTTGCTTGGATTTATAGTTCACCTACACTCAAAGAGCATTCTGAACCCCACCAACAATTAAATTGGACCAAAATTCCTACACAGAACCCCCAGGACCAACAGAACATATTATGTTTTCTGATGGTCTTTGGCGACCCCTCTGACGCTGCTGGCGACCCCCGCAGGGGTCTCGACCCCCAGGTTGAGAACCACTGTTCTAGAACATGGCCAAACAGCCTGAAAAACCTACAATGGCCCTTTATTTATTTATTTAGTACATTTCTATACTGCCCCTCTCAGGCTTCCGGCAACTCAAGGCTGTTTACAAGGCAAGAATTCAATGCCGCCAAGGACACAATTACAATATACAGTATAAAAAAAAAACATCAGCAACAATAAAATCAAACATTATAATGAAACATGCTTCAATCGATAATCATTAAAACAATGTCCAGTTCTGTCATATAGTTATTCCATTATTATATCCGTTACTCTGTATTTTCAAATGCCTGCTCAAATAGCCATGTCTTCTGGAATGATAGGAGTGAGGAAGCCGATCTAATCTCCCTAGGAAGGGCGTTCTATAGCCGAGGGGCCACCACTGAGAAGGCCCTGTCTCTCATTCCCGCCAACCATACTTGTGATGATGGCGGGACCGAGATCAGGGCCTCTCCAGATGATCTTAAAGTCCTTGCAGGTTTATAAGGGGCGTTTCGTTCGGACAGGTAAGTTGGGCCAGAACCGTTAATAAAGATGATGAACAGAACAGGGCCCAGGATGGAATCCTGTGGCACTCCACTCATCACTTCTTTCCAGGATGAAGAGGAGCTGTTAGGAATTGTGGGAGTTGAAGTCCAAAACACCTGGAAGGCCAAAGTTTGCCCATGCTTGTTCTAGAGCAAAATAAGGAATCCAACAGCCTCAAGAAAATCAAGGGTAAAACAGATCCCTTATGAATCAGCAGCCATTTTTGAGATCGTCAACAGAAGAAAAGGCTATCGCAAGAGGAAGTCATTTCTTATCACAAAATCTCAAACATCTATATATATAAAAATGCTCGGTGCATAATGGGTTCCTTAAAAACAAAAGAACCAATGATCGAAATCACACCAAATTTGGCAACAAAATGTCTCACAACACAAGGAGTGACCATCACTCAAAAAATTATGATTTTGTCATTTGGGAGTTGTAGTTGCTGGAATTTATAGTTTACGTACAATCAAAGAGCATTCTGCACTCCACCAATGATGGAATTGAACCAAACGTGGCACACAGGACTCCCATGACCAGCACAAAACACCAGAAGGATTTGGTGGCCATTAACATTTTGTTCATTGGTTCTTTTGTTTTTTTGACTTTGGGAGTTGTAGTTCACCTACATCCAGAGAGCACTGTGGACTCAAACAATGATGGATCTGGACCAAACTTGGCACGAATATTCCATATGCCCAAATATGAACTCAGATGGAGTTTGGGGGAAATAGACCTTGACATTTGGAAGTTGTAGTTTATAGTTCCCCTACAATCAAAGAGCATTCTGAACCCCACCAATGACAGAATTGGGGGAAACTTCCCACACAGAACCCCCATGACCAACAGAAAATACTTAAGGCCATCCAATCCAACTCCCTTCATCAGGGCAAGAAAACATAATCAAAGCCCTCCTGACAAAGAGCCATCCAGCCATTGATATAGATAGATAGATAGATAGATAGATAGATAGATAGATAGATAGATAGATAGATAGATATCTGATTCTCACACAGAGAGATATAGTATCATAGATTTGAAAGGGACCCTTAAAGAAGGACAATGATATGTTGCATGTTCCAGAGTAGGCAAATCAGACAATCACCACATCAACACTGACAAAGAAACAGCAAGAAATACTGTTTATTAACAAGCAGAAATAAATTACATATATTAGAAACCAACACTTTCTCATTACTTTATTTTCCAGATCAACAGACTGGGCCACAGCAACGCGTGGCAGGGGACAGCTAGTTATAAAATAAAATACACATGACATGACGAAGCTCAAATTAGATCCGAGAAAGTGATTAGAGAGAGACTGGTAGCAAGATGCAGGACCTTTCGCCTCGCAAAACAATACGGTTATGAATTGAGGGTCACAGAAACTCCCAAAAGCGCAACAGATGTTGGACAGAAAACTCAGCTAAACGGTTGTCAACACAACAAAGTTGACTGTCAGTTCAATGGCTGTAAATATGCTCCATAGTCTGTAATTTAATTATACAATCTGCAATGAAAGCTGCTTATTTTCCAATGCTATTGCCCTGGTCCAATCTACCTGGTCAAGCATCCTGAATGCAGTCTTCATCACAAAGAAGGAGAGGAAAGAATCCCGGATCCTTACCTGGAAGTGTAAGATGATGGTCCAGATCAATCCCAGGGTCAGCTTGGGGTTCCCATCTGTGATGTCGTCATTGCGAATATTCACCAGCTTCACCTGGGAGGGAACCAAACAACATCAGAAACAAAGCCATGTATTTCTTGCAAGATCTTGTTACCCATGGAATTACGTTATCTCGGCAAATGGTGCAGAGATAACACACTGGAAGGATACTAGAAAAGCTGTTTTCTTGGTGGCACAAGTTAGCCACAGTTAGTGGCTAGGTTCCTCATCTCTGTTCAATGATCTCCAGATTAAATATATTTTGTATTTCATATTTTTATAATTAGAATTATACTGTATTTAACTGTCATCTGTGTTGGAATTCAACCCTATACTGCTCAAGTCTGTAGCCCTCAATAAGAAGCAGATAATAATAATAATAATAATAATAATAATAATAATAATAATAACGACAACAACAACAACAACAATAATAATTAGCAGAATTGAAGAAAAACAACCGGAAAAGCAGACATGATACGAGGATTTAAAGATCGAACTGCAAAGACTCTGGCACAAGCCAGTAAAGGTGATGCCAGCACACTGGGTGCAGTGCCTAAAGACCCTGGCCTGCATTTAAACACAATCGGCACTGACAAAATTACCACGTCAGCTGCAAAAGGCCAACCTACAGGGATCTGCACACATTATTCGCTGATACATCACATAGTCCTAGACACTTGGGAAGTGTCCGACATGTGATCCAATACAACAGCCAGCAGAGTGATCTTGTTTGCTATGTACTAATCTTGTGTTTCAAATAATAATAATCATCATCATCATCATCATTATCACCATCAATGTATTGTCAAAGGCTTTCATGGCTGGGATTACTAGGTTGTTGTAGGTTTTCAGGGCTGTATGGCCATGTTCTAGAAGCATTCTCTCCTGACGTTTCACCTGCATCTATGGCAGGCATCCTCAGCGGTTATGAAGTCATTTGGGAGTTGTAGTTGCTGGGATTTATAGTTCACCTCAATCAAAGATCATTCCGAACTCCACCAACAATTGAATTGAACAAAACTCGGCACAAAGGACTCCCATGGCCAACAGAAAATACTGGAAGGGTTTGGTGGGCACTGACCTTGAGTTTTGGAGTTGTAGTTCACCTACATCCAGAGAGCACTGTGGATTCAAACATTGATGGATCTGGACCAAACTCAATATGCCCAAATGTGAACACTGGTGGAGTTTGGGGAAAATAGACTTGACATTTGGGAGTTGTAGTTGCTGCAATTCATAGTTCACCTACAATCAAAGAGCATTCTGAACCCTACCAACAATAGAATTGGGCCAAATGTCTCAGAACTCCCGTGACCAATAGAAAATGTTGTGTTTTCTGATGGTCATTGGCGACCCCTCTGACACTCCCTCGCAACCCTACCAGGGGTCCCGACTCCCAGGTTGAGAAACGCTGAGTTAGAGAGAAAGCTTAGACCCAATCCTTTTCTCTCAAGAAATGTAGTTGTATGAAGTTTTAATAAATTTCATTGAAACTTTTAAGATTGAACTCTGCACTTTGTTTCCTAAAGCTGAAGACTTCTTTCCAGTCACACTATACTGCCTTCACTTGCTGTGAGCTGAATGCTCTGTTAAGTATTGTTTTTGTATTTTTAAATACAAAAATAAATATTTTGGAGAATTTCCCTAACAATCTGCTCTCAAGCTGACTCTGGACACCTGTTCCAAGGGGGTTTGCCACCATCGCCTTCCTCTGCGGATGAGAGAGGATGTTTTTATTCCTTTGTTTCTATAGGTCAGTGTTGCTGTTGTGACTTCCATGGGGTCACCAAATGGGTTTTCTGGCCTGAGCACAGAGGATTCGAATCCTGAATGCCCAGGATCATAACAAAACACATAAACTGCACTAGATCTTATTTTCAAGTTGACTCTCTTTTTGGAGACCATCTCCATGGGCTTTCTTCTCCAAATTTTACTATTGCTTTCTTCTGTGGCTGAGAGAGTGTGCCTTTCCCAACGTAAAGTAAAGGTAAAGGTTTCCCCTTGACATTAAGTCCAGTTGTGTCCGACTCTGAGGAGTGGTGCTTATTTCCATTTCTAAGCCGAAGAGCCTGTGTTGTCCGTAGACACCTTCTGAGGCTGAGAGAATGTGCCTTTCCCAACTTAAAGTAAAGGCAAAGGTTTCCCCTTGACATTAAGTCCAGTCGTGTCCAACTCTGAAGAGTGATGCTCATCTCCATTTCTAAGCCAAAGAGACGGCGTTGTCCGTAGACACCTTCTGAGGCTGAGAGAATGTGCCTTTCCCAACTTAAAGTAAAGGCAAAGGTTTCCCCTTGATATTAAGTCTAGTCGTGTCCGACTCTGAGGAGTGGTGCTTATTTCCATTTCTAAGCCGAAGAGATGGCGTTGTCTGGAGACACCTTCTGAGGCTGAGAGAGTGTACCTTTCCCAACTTAAAGTAAAGTTAAAGATTTCCCCTTGACATTAAGTCTAGCCATGTCCGACTCTGAAGAGTGGTGCTAATCTCCATTTCTAAGCCGAAGAGCCGATGTTGTCCGTAGACACCTCCAAGGTCATGTGGCCAGCATGACTGCATGGAGTACCGTTACCTTCCTGCCTGCCTATTGATCTACTCACATTTGCATGTTTTCAAACTGCTAGGTTGGCAGAAGCTGGGGCTAACAGGGGGGGCTCATTCCGTCCCGCGGATATGAACCGCTGACCTTTCGTTCAGCAAGTTCAGCAACTCAGTGGTTTGACATGCTGCACCATCGGGGGCTCTAACTTACCTAGTAGTTTTTCAAATATGTGCCTATATCCAAAGATGATCAACTTTCATCGGCATAGAATCATAGAATCAAAGAGTTGGAAGAGACCTTATGGGCCATCCAGTCCAACCCCCTGCCAAGAAGCAGGAAAATTGCATTCAAATCACCCCTGACAGATGGCCATCCAGCCTCTGTTTAAAAGCTTCCAAAGAAGGAGCCTCCAGTGAACGGCTCTCACAGGAAGTTCTTCCTCATGTTCAGATGGAATCTCCTTTCTTGTAGTTTGAACCCATTGTTCCACGTCCTAGTCTCCAGGGCAGCAGACAACAAGCTTGCTCCCTCCTCACTGTGACTTCATCTCACATACTTATACATGGCTATCATATCTCCTCTCAGCCTTCTCTTCTTCAGGCTAAACACACCCGGCTCCTTAAGCCGCTCCTCATACGGCTTGTTCTCCAGACCCTTGATCATTTTAGTCGCCCTCCTCTGGACACATTCCGGCTTGTCAATATCTCTCTTTAATTGTGGTGCCCAGAATTGGACACAATATTCCAGGTGTGGTTTAACCAAGGCGGAATAGAGGGGAAGAATGACTTCCCTAGATCTAGACACTATGCTCCTATTGATGCAGGCCAAAATCCCATTGGCTTTTTTTGCCGCCACATCACATTGTTGGCTCATGTTTAACTTGTTGTCCACGAGGACTCCAATATCTTTTTCACACGTAATGCTCTCGAGCCAGGTGTCCCCCATTCTGTTATCTTTGCATTTCGTTTTTTCTGCCTAAGTGGAGTATCTTGCATTTGTCACCGTTGAACTTCATTTTGTTAGTTTTGGCCCATCTCTCTAATCTGTCAAGATCGTTTTGAATCCTGCTCCTGTCCTCTGGAGTATTGGCTATTCCTCCCAATTTGGTGTCGTCTGCAAACTTGATGATCCTGCCTTCGAACCCTTCATCTAAGTCATTAATAAAGATGTTGAACAGGACCGGGCCCAGGACAGAACCCTGCGGCTCGTCACTTCTTTTCAGGATGAAGAGGAAGCATGTTTTTATTCCTTTGTTTCTATAGGTCTGTGTTGCTGTTATTGTTGCGTACAGTGTTTTCTGGCGAATTAAGACATGAAGGTGAACCTATCATGGTGTGTCTTGGCTGAATTTGCTCAGATGGGGTTTGCCTTTGCCTTCTTCTGAGGCTGAGGGAGTGTGACTTGCCTCAGATGTGTCTGTATGACCAAATAGGATTCGAACTCAGGTCTCCAGAATCATGGAACATGAAGAAATGTCCTCAACAGGCTTTTTGGCCATTTTGAGACAGCTTGCCTTGACCCTAAATGGCATTTCTTCATCACTCTGTCATCAATTGGATACGAGACGTGGCCCAGAGGATGTCAATTAAACGTAATTTTGCAAAGGGCTGATGGAGATGTTTCAGCAAAGCCCCAGCAGCTTAATCTAGTTCCCACTTAATTCACAAAAGTATCGTGCAACTTGTCAAAAAATTAGCAAGATTTTAAAATGAGATATTTCTCCATTTTTCTTGGCTCAGGTTATTTAGTCTAGCTTCCAGCGGAGACTGGATCTGCCACCACCCCAAATGCTCTCTTTTTCATAACGAATTTTTTAAAAAAATATGCAGGCCATACAAAACGCAAGCCCAGACTTGGGCAAGCATTACACAACCGGCACCGTGAACCCAACGCCAGGCCACAAATAGGGAGACAAGCACATTACTGGCACCCTTTTGGCACCGGAGAGAGATGGCCCCGAGGAGAAAAGCTTCTTCCCAGCGACAGGGAGGGGCGTTCACACAAGGAAAATAAATCAAATTAGGCACCGGGTGGGGAGAAGGTAAACAGGGAGAGGCCTCTCTCCTTTTCTCATCATGTTAGGACTGAACTGAGAAGACCTCAGAGAAAGAAAAGATGAACATTTCGTGAAAAGTGTGTCTCTGACCTGAAATGCCTGAAAAGTTCTACTGTAGATTGATCTTGAAACACAAAGCACTACATTACACTGGTTCTGACCAGAAGGTTATATCTCATTTAAGAAACCACTAAACTGGACAATTAGGTTGCTCTGAGTTTTCCGGGCTGTATGTTCCAGAAGCATTCTCTCCTAACGTTTTGCCCACATCTATG